CTGCTACCTAGTGTGCTAACTAATTCTTTAACTTTTTCGTTTACAGTCTTCCAATATGTCTAGATTTTTGCTTCAGATCACACCTGTTGCTTTTGCTTTTTCCATTCTAAGGTAGTTTGAGGTGACTGTATTTCCTCCTTCCTAGAAATTCAGGCATTTTACCCATAACTATTTCCAGAGTTATTCTTGTCAGTTAGCAATGACTTGTCCATGATTTTTGGTATGTGATACCTAGAAAAGTACCATTCTAGTCATTTCATCAGCATGGATTAAAAATAGAATCTGTTTCCCTGAGTCAGGAGGACTTGGATTTTTGTTGTTGTTGTTGTTATAGCATATTATATAGCAAGATCTTTTTAACTCATTATTGTTAGCAAACTTATTTGTGGCATTGCTTCATGACAAAGATGTCTTTGTGTTTGTTAACTTTGTCTGGACCTATTCACTTTTGCTTCCCCTCCAAGGTAAAGTCACATCACATCGTATTTCTTCTTTTCTAAGATGCTTACACTGATGAAGACCTGATGCTGTATTGGAAAAATGGGAATGAATCTCTGAAAACCGATGAGAAGATTTCTTTGTCTCGGTTTTTAATACAAAAATTCCACACTACATCGAGACTGGCTTTCTACAGTAGCACAGGTACGGCCTTTTCTGACTTAATGCTATTGCTAAAGCTAATGCTTTATTAACTAGTTGTGAGAGAGCTTTTGGGATTATATGTCACTGAAATGTACTCTCCATGGTCTCGCCTATACATGTTTTGAAAGATTAGTTTATCTTTTCACTACCCTTTAGAAATAAAAATTAAAAGAAAGATCTTGTGTCTCTGTGCTGTGCCTACCATCCAGGCTGTTCTCACTGATTCTGACTTTTCTCTTCTCTCAATTTTTCAATCGCCTCTACATAAACTTCCCTTTCCCCCGCCACATCTTCTTCTTCTTGCTCCAAACCTACTTCCCCGCCACCCTCATGGTCATTTTGTCCTGGGTGTCTTTCTGGATCGATCGTCGAGCAGTTCCTGCCAGAGTCTCTTTGGGTGAGAGCAACTGCAACAAGCCATGACTGTGTGAAAATCTTTGAACGTGAAAGTTTTGGCAGGAAAGGGAACTGTGCATTTTGGTGGTTAAAGATACTGGGCAAGAAGTTATTTTTATGTGATGATTAATATAATATAAAACTTGTAGTTTGTCTTAAGGCAATTGCTAAGCAGTCCTCCTGATCTGTACTTAGCTCAGGGCAGAAAGGGCTGTGGTTTTCTTGGGACAAAAGCCTTATGGACTGTATCAATCAGTACAATTTATTTATTTGTTTGTTTTGGTTCTTTCCAGGGATAACCACCGTGCTGACCATGTCCACGATCATCACTGGGGTGAACGCCTCCATGCCCCGTGTTTCCTACATCAAAGCAGTGGACATTTACCTGTGGGTCAGTTTTGTGTTTGTCTTCCTCTCGGTACTGGAATACGCAGCAGTGAATTACCTGACTACGGTGCAAGAGCGGAAGGAGAGGAAACTTCGGGACAGGGTAAGAAAAACTTTTGTTTTGTTCATCCATTTACTCTTTATATTGACTGATTTGTGTCTAACAATGGGAACACACTGACATCCATGTGTGTATAATTGGATCTGTTTAGACCACTCCACTTCAGGCTGAATTGCTAACACCAGAAAAACAGGAGTTGGTCTCATGGGTCTTCATAGAAACATCACAGAGTGTGATCTGAACTGGGAAAGATTGCAACCTGGAACAGTGTGGGGATGGTAAGAGGGAAAAGTATAAAATCTGATACTTCACTGCAGCTGCCACAATTGCTATATTTGTAAGCTAAAATGGTTATTCAAAGCAAATTCATTTTCTCCCTCTACAGTCAGCTTTACTCTGGAAACTGGATTCAATGGATGTAATAGTGGAGTTGTTCCCCATTACCAAACACAACCATCAGCCAAGTTTAGGCTTGTACTTTCTAATGCACTATGAAAGGTCTTATCCTGCATCCTTGCAGTTTTACAAGGCCTGATCACAGAATTGCCTTGATTGGAAAAGACCTTTAAGATCACCAAGTCCAATTATTAACCTAACACTGACAAGTCCCCAGCTAAACCATGTCCCTAAGCCCTATGTGTAGCCAACTCTTAAATGCCTCCAGGGATGGGGACTCCACCACTGCCCTGGGCAACCTGTTCTAATGCCGGAGAATCCTTCCAGTAAAGAAATTCTTCCTAATATCCAATGTAAACTGCCCTTGGCACAACTTGAGGCCATTTCCTCTCATCCTGCCCCTTGTTACTTGGGAAAAGAAACCAACCCCCACCTCTCTACAGCCTCCTCTCAGGTAGTTGTAGAGAGCAATAAGGTCTCCCCTCAGCCTCCTTTTCTCCAGACTAAACAACCCCAGTTCCCTCAGCTACTCCTCATAAGACCTGTGCTCTAGTCCCTTCACCAGCTTTGTTGCCCTTCTCTGGACACACTCCAGCATCTCCATGTCCTTGTAGTGAGGGGCAGATACCATCCCGAGCAGCAGATCAGATACAATCCTGAGCAGCCTGGCCCTGCTGTGGGCAGGAGACATGGCTAGAGACCCTGAGGTCCCTTCCAGCCTGAATTATCCTACAGACCTGTGAGCCCTTCTTCTTTGTAATTAAAAAAAACACCATCACTTTTTGGATACTAAGGCTTGGGACCAATTTTTTTCAGTCCTCAGACACCCAGAACATCACCATGTTTTACAACTCCTTTCTTCCCATCAGGAATTCCCCACATTAGTTCACAGGTAACATTGGTCACCTAATGCCTTTGACTCCTGGAAAATGTATATCAGCCTTTCAGAAATGCCAATGCAGACATCACCTTTCATATGATTTGACCATGACATTTCCCTCTCTGAACTACTCTGTTGGCTTTGCATGCCCTTCTCTTCCTCTTGCACTTCTTCCTATGACTTCCTTGAAATACAGAATAGACCATTTATCAGCCCAGTACCTTTCCTAGTTGACATCTCATCAAAAATTTGGATACATTTTTAAAAGCAATTGGAATAAATTCAACAGACTCTTGTGACAAAATTTGACCACTCGCCAAGGCCTTCTCCCCAATAGTGTGATTCTAGAAAGCTGCATGAACAGGTCCTGAGTATCTTGACTTACCTACGCCCCCATCCTATCCCCACCCAGGGCTCAGCACTTCTCTGCAACACAGGGTAGAGATGCTCTGTGCAAGCAGAGCGAGTCAAGTGTGTCTTACCTGCTGTGTGTGAGCAGTGGTCTGTGGCCTTTTAGCCAGCCCTGCTCAGACTTCCCCTGTCCAAAGAAGACAGCCTCCTGACAGTACACAGGAAATAAAAAAAATAATTATTTGCTATGTTTGACTTGCCTAGAATAAACCTGTATTTTTTTTTAAGGCAAAAACCCCTCTCCTTTGTCTTTAACTGTATTGGAGGGATGAAATGAACTTGAGAGGGTTTGTTGCCATTCTGCTAAGTTTTTGGGAATGTTTTTCCCACCTCTGGTGATGGCATAAATTGTTATTTATATCACAAATCTGCCCTTTATTGAGTCTTGCGCATTGAATTCTATATTCAGCAAATGCTTTTTTACTACACATGGTAAAATATTCTAATCAGTCTTCAGCATGTGACAATATTTATTAATCCTCTGCAGTGGTAATGGGAACAGAAACAATAAGCAGCATTATTTGAGGTGTTGCAGCAAAACGTAGGTGAGTGCTCCTGAAGAAGCAGAAGAGATATTTCTCATTGGATATGTAGATCTTGTCAGCCAATGCTGCAGTGCTGCTTCCCTATGAAAGACCCAAAAATCTTAATATGAAGATGTTAGGCTGCCCAGAGAAGAGCTCTATGTTATGCCTACATTAAGAAATTAAATGTACCTGGAACTAAGGCTGATGGGCATGGAGTATCTAAAACTACACCTTCTTTCTCTCAAAAACAGAGTGGTTGCTGTGAACTGCCTGTGGCAAATGGTCCGTGGCCCATGCTTATTCCCAAACAGTATCTGGGAACTTTTTGGTGCTTGTTGGCCTGGACAAAATTTAGGCCAGAGACATTTCTGAAACTCTAATAGTATTGTCAGCTCAGTTCCCATGCCCAGGGAGGTTCTTTGGCAGTGTTCAATTTATTAGTTTAGACATAGACCAAAATTGCTTCAGGGTGAAATTATGTAGCATACTTCTGCATGTGTGTGCCTATGTGAAGGTGGGTGTAATCTAAGACTCTGTGGAGGTGGGTTTCTAGTACATTAGGTTGCATTTTCCATAGGGGTGACTGTCATCACATGCACATGAAGCCATTGGGAACTGTAATTTGACCTGGGGCTAAGAGTAAATCAGCAGAATTTATTTCTCTGATGGGTCCTGCAGCAATCAGCTTGTTCCTGTTAACCGCTTTCCCTTCCACCCACCCACCACCTCCCGACCTTCTCATCAGTTGATGACAGAGCCTGATTTAATGCTTCACTGTGGGTTTTGGGGGGTTTTTTGTTTGTTTTTTTGTGGGGGTTTTTTGTGGGGTTTTTTTGGGTACACTGGCTTAGTATAAAATATTTCTTAAAATCCCGCTGATGTTCAGCTGTACCTATAGAGTGCTCCAAAAAAATTCCTGGAGTGATGGATCTAACAAGTAGAGCAAACAGGCACTTGTCAAGTTTTTCTGCTTGCAATCTACTGATATAAAGTAATTTGGTTATGACTAGAATACAGAAAACAATTAAGTTGATTTGCAGGTTTTCAGTAAGCAATTTGGTCTGTTGGTTAAATAATCTGAAGAAAAAGCTTTGAGTGCAGAGTTTTCCAGTAGCATCCTGAATATTAGATACATTTTTAATACATATTTCTGTGTATATGTACTTAATTATTTTAGCTGAATGTATCCTTGAAAACAAGTCCTTGGAAAACCCACACATTAAAGTTGGTGAAAGAGGGAACTGGGGGGAAAAGCATTATTGAGTAAGGAGAGCAGTCTGTGGGGTATCAGAGGCAGGAACTCCTGGCAAAAAGGAGGTTTTGGAGTCCATTTCCATTGCATACAAATATATAATCCATGCTGCTGGGAAAGAAGACCTTCAGATTTTAGACAGTACAAGACAGTATTTACTATTCAAAATTTTACCTGTATTCATGGGGGTTTTTAGACTTGTGGGATGCATGCTGGTGCTGCTAAAGTCAATGTGAGTTTTGACATTAACTTCAACAGAGCTGAGATTTTACATTAGGTTTTAAACTGGTCCTCTGCTTAGTTTAAAATTAGATTTACAAAAAAAACATGTGTATCTGTGAAATCAGAACCTGTCCCTTTTTTTTCCATAACATGTACTGGATAAGCCATTTCCACAGATAAAACTGCATCTTGTCCTTGAATATTTATAAACACAGATTGCAAAATAAGGCAGGAAGGCTGAACAGAGCTAGCTAAGAAAACCTTTTGGTTAGTTTTTATGTCCTCTAAAGCATCTTCCTAATCTTTTCTGAAGATGTTTGTCCAAGTGGTGTAGCTAAACCATGTCTCTTCATTTTGGAAGACAAGCAAAAATAAAAGTGACTTTTTTGCTCAAAGAGAAACTTAAGAGTATTTCAACTAAAATTTCAAGCTCAACTCTTTACAAGCTGCCTGTTAATAGAAAGGCATCATTTTTGTTGCTAATATCTTCTTCCAGTGTTCAGCTATATTTCTTGTTTATGTTCCTAGTTTTCATGTACATGTGGAATACCTCATTCGAAAACTATGATGCTGGATGGAAACTACAGTGAGTTTGATGCCAACAGCCTGGCAGGATATACAAGAAACCAGATGGTCTCAGAGGAAGAAAAACAAGAAAAGATGGTTGTGCACTTAGCTATGAGCAATGAATCCAATTCACCAAGGAAGAGAGGTCTGAAGGGCCATATGGGCTTGCGCATCATCCAGAACACTCATGCAATTGATAAATATTCAAGAATAATATTTCCAGGCACCTATATATTTTTTAATTTGATATATTGGTCTGTCTTTAGCTAAGCATGCTGGCACAGCAGTGACTGAAGCAGAAGACATTTACAAAACTCTCTTTTGTTGGTTCTTTTTCAGTCTAATCTAGATGCAAAACCAGAAAACTGATTATTTTGTTGCTTCTTTGGAGGGTAAAGAGGAGAACACTTACTCCAACGGGTAACATGGAGGAACTTGCTGTGCTGGTTGCTTTCCATCCCACTCCCCAGCTCCTGTTTGCTTTATGATGCATGTTTTTTCTCATACTTGAAACTATGTGTTAACTTTTCACTCAGAAGGTGTTGTATGTTCATTTGTGACTGTCTACACTGCTGGTGCCTGCTGTGCAATGGACAATCAGAGACAGTGCTCGCATGGGCTGTCAGGGATTAGACAAATGCAACTTGCAAGTGTCTGAATAGCGCATCTCCTGTAAGAGAACTGAATGAGGCCTTTCCTTTTCAAAATCTCTGCTTTTGAGCAAACCCTTTTATTTTTCTTTGGCATATGAACACCATATTTCTTTATATTGGTGTATGAAGAAGACCTCCTTTTAGGGTTCAGATTCTGCTTTCTCTGGATAAGACCTTCATTGATACAATTAGGACAGCTGACTGGCCAGAGTCAACAGGGTTGGTTACAGAATGCAGGTTGTTATGTTTGAGTCAGTGGTCATTTTTTTTTTCCAGATTAGAAGTAAGGAGTGAGGATGAAATAGAACAAAGAAACCCACAGGTTCACAGAAGATGGCTCCCAGGGTACAGGGATAATGAAAACAGGGAGGTTTACTGGATTTACTGGAAACAAAACTGATGGGAGAAACTAAAATTAACAACCATCTTCCCCTTTCATCAGTCATTTTAATAACTGACATGAATGGAGTTCTGTCTGATCATAAAAGTAAGCCCTGAAATTGCTGGCAAGAACATGAGCCATGGAAGGACAGTATCTGAAAGGAAGGATTGCCCTGTACCCCAGCCTGCCACTTCTCTCCTGAAACACCAGATCAGTGCGTTTATCACACATCATCACTCTTCTTGGAGCTGAAACCTGGATACTTCTCACATCAACAGGTGGAGATCATAGAATCATAGAATGGTTAGGGTTGGAAGGGACCTTGAAGATCATCTAGTTCCAAGATGCAAAAAAATATTAAAGAAATAGCCCACTTCTTATCTTTTGAAAGATTAAAACCTGGATGTAACAGTGTGCATTCTTCAGCATTAGCAGTTTCGCGTGTAAAACAGGAACCAATGCTGCAGCTGGCAGCAGGACAGCTCAGCAAAGGGACCTTTGCTGAGGGAAAGCAGCAGAACTGCACCATGAAGTCACCTGTGCAGGGAGTGAGAAATTCGGTTCTCACGTCCCCCGTTTTGCCAGTCTTTCTGCATTACCCATGGCACGTGCCATTTAACCTCTCAGTGCCTTGTCTCCTCCAGCTGGAAAGTGGGGAGCAATAATATTTACCTACCTCATGAGATGCTGAGGAGCTTAACTTGCTTAACTAGCATGTGTGTGGGGCACAGTTATGATTTCTGAGCAGGTCACTCAGTGGGAATCCAAAGGTTTTTGTCTTAGTTACTAGTGAGTTCTTCAAATGTGTCCTGTGAATCAGTCCAACAGGAAAAAAGCAGTGTCTCCCCCGCCTTACAATGATATTAAGCCAGATAACTCCCCTGCAATATAATGATATTAAACCAGAGATAAATGCAGCCCAACAGCCAAAAAGTGATCACTGTCAATGAATAATGCCTCCTGGCATCCAAAAGAAAAAAAAAAAAAAAAGGAAAAAGAAAAAAAAGGAAAAAAAAAAAGAATTCCTAGTGCTTTACTTTGTTATTTGTTTTTCTTACATCTCCTGTTCCCTTAGAAGTTTTGTGGTGACAAAGACAGTCCTTTAGACCCCCTCATCTTTGTACTAGCACTGCCTGCAGTTTAAATGCTAGCTAATAAACATCTTTTGGAGAGGCTACCTTACTGTTATTTTATATGCATGTGTACATAACTGGTACAGATTGATGTCTGTTTCACTAGACACAATTATACAGCCTAGAAAACCATCAAGAGTGTATTTTTCCATTAAAGGAAAAAAAAAATCTCTATCTTCAGCACCACTTACACTTATTATTCATTAAAATAACAGATGAGAAGTATAGATGCAAATAAAACAAGATGTCTCCTTCAGGCAGCATATGAATTGCATTTTTCTGCTTATTAAGAGGAGAGCAGCTAGGCATGAAGCTAGAACCAATATTTGAAGTGTAGTATTAAGAATGTAATTAATCTTTCATCTCCCGTGGATTACAAGGGACTCCAGGAGCACTGTCTAACTTCTAGTTGCAAGATCCAACCAATGTTTTGAGAAATAGTGCCTGAAGCCAGGTTCTGAATACTGTTTGATGAGTACAACTCAATTCTATGAAGCACTGAGCATCTGGACAATTAACCTACCAAAGGACAGGATTTTCAGAGATGCGCAAGGGATTTGGGCAAATGAAGCCCGTTGATGAGTACATCTTCTCTGAATAACCTGGTCCAATTGCCAAGAGAGAAAATGTTGGCCCTGCTCATTCTACGTCTGGCTCCATTGTACTTCTACTTCTAACCAAATAATGTCTCTGAAATGAGAAATAATGTCTCTCTATATAGATATGTACACGTATCTACAATGTATATGCAGGTAGCATATAGCAAAGGAAGACACTGGGACATGTATCTATGTTAAATAGTGTACATATGTGAAATTGTAACATATTTTATGTAAATTACCATTTATTATGCCCAGAAAACTTACTATGTTGAATTGAAAAAAGACTCTTATTGCCAGCCAAGGGCCAAGAAATGAGTTACCGGCAAAAATTATGGGTTTTCTCACATTTTCCTTCGGAAAAAGAAAGTGTAGAGAAGTTTGTGAGAAAGGCTGATGCTAAACTGGTTGTTCAATGGGTACAATCCACTGTGCTGATCACTGTAATCAAACCTGGTAATAAAAGAACAGATGGAAAGGATGGAAAAGAGTCCATTTCATGGTGTGAACTTTAAAATGTCATTTTAATTCTGTTTGGAGATCTGTTGCCTGTGAGCTAATTTCCTATGGTAAAAGATTTGAGTAAACACCTAATTTATAATTGATTTTAAATAAAAAGCACCTCAAAAGGTGGGAGAAATGTAGTGGAAGTATGAAAGTACTTTGATACAAAGTTTCTTGGGAAAACCGAGCCATTAATTACAGCTATAAGCTACAGAGACCTTTTGTGAAAACTGCAGCCCACAATTGAAGAAGTTTTGATAATTACTTTATATTTAAGAACACATTTTCAAAAGCCCAAATGGCAGGTATATATCTCAATCTCCATTTGACTATAAATGACAACATTGTCATTTAATTCCTCCTTTGTGCCTTTGAAAAGATTGTCTCCACACTTACCAATGGAAGATAAAACTGCTCCGAGATGCCGGCTGCCCGATCTCAGCTATTATCCCTAATGCAGACAATGGGACTTAAGTAAACGCACAGGGGCAGGGCTGATACCCAGCCCGCTGAATAGTGGCTGTTGTCTGTCAAATTTCCTCAATGGAGAGATTACAACAAGGTACAGTCTAACTAAGTAATATACTGCCCTGCTGGAATTTAAAAAACAGAAAAATGTATTTAAAAACCAGCAAGACTTTAGCACTATTAAAATTAAAATGTAATCCATTATCACATTAAGCTGATTAATTCCTTTGCAAAAATGATGTTTGAAATAATGTATCGGGGCCATCACTTTCCTGGTCAGAGGAATCACCATTTCAGATGAAGTGAGAAGGTTGGGGAGGGACATTGTGCATGAGTGTGGGGTGAGGTGCTGCTCTTGGTGTCCAGCTCTTGTGGCTGTGCAGGAGTGGCCACCAGGCTGAGCAGAGCCCACTGCAGGGGTGAGGATCGGAGGACCCAGCTTTCCCAAGGTACTCGGTGCCTGGGCATCGCACGTCCCCATGTGGCACTCCTTGATTTGGGCAAGGAAAACCTATCCTCTGCCAGAAGTGATGGGATCCCCACCACCCATGGGGCAGTTGTTATGGGTGGTGTGGTGCAGGTGATATAGGCATTTTGGCTGAAGGTTTGGGTTCATTTCTGGGTGTTCACGTCATTAGCTGGTCCTTAGCCAGGGTTTAACAAGAGACCCACGTGCCTGAGGCAGCCCCAGACAGAGAAACACCTGGCAGAGTCCCCTCCACACCAGCACAAAGAGATGTGCACAGACGGCCCCAACATGCCACCCCACCTCCCAGATCATCCTGCCAGCACCAGGGAGATGGGGCCCACATCATCAGCATGCCGTGAAAGGTGTCCCCCAGCCCTCCTTTTGCAAGGGACCCAGGAACCATGACAGCCCTGCGTTGCCTGCTCCTTGGAGCAAGCAGAAAAGCCCTTAGCAGATAATTTGACACCTGATTTTTAAGATTTCCTGCCTTTGAGAAAATGCATAAGACTCATCTTGACCAGTTGTCCCAATTGGACTTCTCCCACAAGTCGTTTGGAGGTCTCTGAGTGTGGATATGTGCACTTGCAACCATAGAAGTTAGCTTAGGAAAAGTGCCCGGCAACTCAATCTGTGCAAAATGCATATCAATGATGTGGGAAAAAAAAATAATAATAATAAAAATCACTGCTCTACTTGTCACGCAGATTTATAGAAGAAAATTGTGTGTTTAGCTTAGAGGGAATTCAGAGAGGGAAATGAAAGGACAAGTTAATTGTAACGACAGTTTGAATTACTTGAACAAATATCTTTTGGGAAATGTGGCAGAACATTAGAGCTGTAAAACTCTCCAGCCTCCTGGCTCTTTCCATTTTCTCTGGATTTTTATTAGGGTCCAAATTCATGTCAGCCATGAAATTTTAAACCTTTCGTAGTAAGGTGCAAAATGGGGTAATGACCACATTTTTATAGGTATGGCTGGCAGGAGACTTTCAGTGCTGTGCACAGATTGTAATTGCAGCAGCTTCCAAGTAAAAATACTGTTCTTTTTTTAATCTACAGTTT